TCGCATCTCATGTTATGAAAATGATTCTAATGTTTCCTTATTTCTTCCTCTAAGAATCCCCATAATATTTCGATGGAACGTACGTTCTATAAAGGCGAGTCATTAGACAGTTGGAAGCAAGGAGTAAACAGAAAAAAAATCTCAGCGGATTTGCTTTATTATTCATTCAAAAAGAGCAATCAAAAGATCAGAACCCTGGGATGATTCCAGAATAACGAAAAGGTTGAGTTATGATTTTAATATTCCCTTGCGCATGCGTAATTACCCACATGAAACGCATACACAACACGCTTACAAATATAACGAAAACAAATGAGGTATACAGATGTGAATGGGGATATATATAGCTAGATATAGCTATTACAAATACATGCGTTTACTTTTTTTTTTTTGGAGAGGATGGGAAGATTGTGTTCCGCCAATAGCACAATTAGGGATAACATGATTCCCTGTGTTAAAATTTAGTGTTCAACCGAGAAAACAAAAATATTACGAAATTATGTCTTTACACCTCGGTTCGAACACGGACTACAAATGAGCAACTTTTACTACCTTGTAAATGGTAAGAAAGTGTTTTACCAATCGGACATCTAGATGAGATGGCTACAGGCCTTAAAATTTCAGTGTTTAAGCAAGAACAAAATATTACAAAATGTCGCGGGCAACTCGACATGGTGTAATGGCTAGCAGGCTTATCTCGCTCGTACAATTACGACTGAGTAGTGAGTTCGATCCTCACTGGGTAACCCATACTTTTGGCTTTGTGCCACATCTAAGCTACGCTTGGAAAATCGCTTTAGGGCACCTCGACGTGGTGTAATGGCTAGCAGGCTTGTCTCGCTCGTACAATTACGACTGAGTAGTGAGTTCGATCCTCACTGGGTGCCCCATACTTTTGGCTTTGTGCCACATCTAAGCTACGCTTGGAAAATCGCTTTAGGGCACCTCGACGTGGTGTAATGGCTAGCAGGCTTGTCTCGCTCGTACAATTACGACTGAGTAGTGAGTTCGATCCTCACTGGGTAACCCATACTTTTGGCTTTGTGCCACATCTAAGCTACGCTTGGAAAATCGCTTTAGGGCACCTCGACGTGGTGTAATGGCTAGCAGGCTTGTCTCGCTCGTACAATTACGACTGAGTAGTGAGTTCGATCCTCACTGGGTGCCCCATACTTTTGGCTTTGTGCCACATCTAAGCTACGCTTGGAAAATCGCTTTAGGGCACCTCGACGTGGTGTAATGGCTAGCAGGCTTGTCTCGCTCGTACAATTACGACTGAGTAGTGAGTTCGATCCTCACTGGGTGCCCCATACATTCGGTCTTGCGCCACATCCGAGATACGTTTGGAAAATTAGGGCACCTCGAGGTGGTGTAATGGTTAGCCAGCTTGTCTTGCTAGAACAATTACGTGTGAGTTCGATCCTCACTGGGTGCTCCATACTTTCGACTTTGTGCCACATCTAAGCTACTCTTGGAAAATCAACCTCAATGGGTTATTTGATGCTGACAAGATTTTTAGGATAGGTTCGTAGAATTTCTTTGTAGATCCGGTTTCGAGTTTTTGTCGAGAGTCAAATGTATAGCTAGTAAGAATTTTTTTTTTTTTCAAAAATGTATTGCTAGTATTATTACACTATTTACATTATTCGGACTATTGTCCCCAACTTTGTCACCATAGTGTAAATAGTGTACATAATACTTCATCTCAGAAATATAGACAGATACTAGTATTTTTACTATTAAAAAAAAACAAACTTATTTTTAAACTTTCACCGTTTAGGGGTTAACTATTTGCCCATAGCTGGCACTCTAACAGAACCGATGATCAGGGTAGACCTAGGAACAACAATAATTAAGAGGTGGCTCTACGCTCCTCAAAACTTCCTGATCTTGCTGCTGGGTATAGTTTATTGTCATACCCAGGACGCAGAAGAACAATTATGAATGAGTAGGGAATTCGATCCTTACTGGGTGCCTCATATTTTCGGCCTTGTGCCACATTTAAGCTACGCTTAGAAAATTACTATTACAAAATTACGCCTTTACACCATGGTTCAAACACTGACTACAAATGAGAAAAGATTTATAACATGTACATATTGCAGATTTTACAAGTATGCGACAATAATCAGTGCCGAGGTGTTAGAAAAATCCTGACTTTAACCCGCGCTCGAACAACTAACTCCAGTAAAAAAAAAAAGCACAACTCCTTCATCCAGCAAACAGACCTAAACAAGGATGTGGGATATGAAGACTGGAATAGATAGATAGATAGATAGATAGATAGATAGATAATGTGAAGACTGGAATAGATAGATAGATAGATAGATAGATAGATAGATAGATAGATAGATAGATATGTGAAAATATGGAAAACTAGATAGATAGATAGATAGATAGATAGATAGATAGATAATAGATAGACTAATGATAGAAGACTGGATAGATAGATAGATAGATAGATAGATAGATAGATAGATAGATAGATAGATCCATCCATCCGACCTTTTGAAACTGTCCGCCGAGTCGTTTAAGTTAATCTCAACTAGTTTGTTGTCCGTTAAATTGTCCGTTTATTTCCTGTGACGTTTGGTAATTTGGTTGTTGTAGGGGTCGGGGGAATATGTAAGGAGGTAAACAGACCGGAAGTCATTTAACGATAGAATTTGAGGTAGAAGATTTGGCACGAGAGAATATGTGAGAGTGGGGGAGTAGTTGAGAAGGGAGATCAAACAGAGGTTGAGACACACACACACATGCGTGTGCACATACACGTACACACCCACACAATTTTTTTTTTTTTAAATAACATTGAAAAATCAAGGCAAAGAGAGGGGGAGTTATAATGAACTCAGAGACTTAAATGTAATAAAAGTCATATTGAAAACAAAACACTGATTAGAATATAAACGTAAAAAGTGGGTTAACTAAATATGAGGACAGTTTGAATTTGTAACCCAAAAGAATCAAAGCGAATTCGCATTCAGTTTGGGCAAATTCTTCATTTTCATTCAGGCTATGGGCGTTCATTGCTCTCCACAATCTCCTATACTTTGTAGCTCTTAGTAAGTTTTGTCTTTTTATCATCTCTCCCTGTTCTGTCATTTACATAATCTTATTCACTGTTCTTCTTTCCTTTAATATGCCCTATAAGTGTTAAATTCTCCAAACACACTTTACGTGTCCCAGAAACGCCAATTGTCTGTTTCTGATTCTAAATATGTTTCTTTTTTTTCCATTATCCGTAAAATATCCTCATTATTCATATGCTCAGTCCATGGTATTCGCAGCCTCCTTCTGTAAAATCACATCCCAAATTTTTCCTTAATCTATAAGAGGACTGATATTATATAAATTTTAGCTCTATTTTCTTCGTTTCTAACGAAATTTTCCTGTTTAAAATACTTTGCTGAGCTTTTAGAAAGCATCTTTCGCTATTTCAATGCGCCTTCGGATATTCAAATTCTTGTATTTGCTTGATTTTGGTATCCCCAATTTGTAGTCCTTTGTTGCTTAAATGTTCCGTTCATGGTATTCTCAGCATTGGTACAGTGTAGAACAACGCTTATGTTGGCCCAAGTCTGTTCTTTATCCGTGACAAAACTATCCAACATTCACTGCCATATAGAAGGATTGATATTATGTAATCGTTCAGCACACTTTTCTTTATTTCTAACAAAATTCTCCTGTTTCACTCTTACAGGTTGAGAATCCTTTATTCGAAATTCTTGAGAACGTTTTTCAGATTTTTTCGGATTTAGGAATACAGTGTGTTTAATTTGAATATAGCATCTATAAAATGAGACAGCTTGGGAATGGAATCCAGGGATAAACACGATGTCCGTTTACATTTCATTATACAGCTTATACATATACACTGAAGGTCGAGTCATATAAATAATATATACCCTGAAAGTAGCTTTATATAAAATTCAGTAAATTTTCTGTACATACAGTTACAAGTAATGACACTAGCCATGTAATGCTCACACACATTTTTAAGCGGTGAAATTAAGGTTTCATGCAATAATAATATTTTGTACTTTCTGTACTTGTACAAAAAACATGTTCACTACTTACAAAAAGTATATAAATGCAACACCAAACATTACTTCTACATTAGGTGCGAGAAAGTGGAGGGAGAGGATACATAATCTATGACATCACTGTGAGTGTGACAAGGAAAATTCGCTAAGCTACTAACGATGTCTTGTTTAGATTAAAATCTTACTATACATACAGGTAAAATATTCGTATAAAAATAAAACATGGTTTCTGATTCTGTCTATATTTCTGAGATGAGGTATTATGTACATTATTTACATTATTCGGACTATTGTCCTCATCTTTGTCGCCATATTTATCACAACGTTATGGCCGTTGTACGCTCCGGCCTTCTTCAGGTGGTTGGAATGTCGAACTGAACCCTTTATTTCGCTCACCGGGGTAGACTGCTCTAGGACACATGGCACAGTGGATAAAGGCGTTGGCTAGATCCAGTGACAGGACCCAAAACAGTTTGAGTTCAATACCCGGTTAAGGCAGTGGAGAACTTTCAGAGGGAAATTAACAGGAGATAACTGATAACTGACATCCATCAAACATGGCACGTGGAACTAGAACAGTCTACCCCGGTGAGCTAAATAAAGGGTTGAGTTCGACATTCCAACCACCTGAAGAAGGCCGGAGCGTACAACGGCCGTTGTGATAAATATGGCGACAAAGATGAGGACAATAGTTCGAAAATGTAAATAATGGTTTCTGATTACAGTTAAATATAATGAAAATTGAAAAAAATCAGCATTTTATTTGTAACCCTGGAACGTAATAATCATGCTTACGGGTAGGCATGTTGGTTTCTGAAATTTTCCATTTCGGGTTTTGGAGGTTTTCGGAATTTCGGATAAAGTATACTCAACCTGTAGTTTGATTTGCTTTTGGAATGTATCGTTTGCTGTTGCAATGAACGTTCGGATTTATGTCACCTCTCCCGATAACTGACCCGTTCTGGGTAAGACGATAAACTACGTCGGGCAGCAAGGCCTTTGATCAAGAGGTTTTGAGAAAAGCATGAAACCACCTCTTAATTGCTGGTGTTCCTGGGGTGGTAGCACATGTTAGGGTCCCAGTTATGGGCAAATAGTTATCACCCAAACTTGGGTCAAAATACTATGAAAGTGTAAAAATAGGTTTTAATACCATAAATATTTTGTAAAAAAAATTATTAACAGCAATAATTTTTTGAAGAAAAAGTTATTATCAGCAATACTTATAAAATTTACTAGCAATACAACCAGCTATACATTTTTTGAAAAAAATATTACCAAAAATACATTTTTGAAAAAAACTATTATCAGCAATAAGAATTTTATCGGCATTAAATAACCCATTGAGGTGTTGATATGCCATAAAACAAAACAAGCCAAAGCAAATGAAACTCGATAATTGTTATAACTTTTCAGATATTTAAATTACTGAATTTGCTTGATTCGGACGCATCCAGTTTATAGCTCGCATCTTAAGTTCTCCATAACAACAGGATATAGGTAGATGGTGCCGAGTTGATGGTATACACAAAAAGAAAACCGGAAAGGAAACTCTAAGAGAAAGTACTAAACGAAACAAGAAGACAGATATCTTCTTCTTCTTCTTCTTCTTCTTCTTCTATGTGCCCTATCCCTTCAGATTGTAGGTGATCATGGCTCTCTACGACTTCCTGTCCGTTGTAGATCTTAGTAAGTTTTGTCTTTTCGCTATCCCTGTCAATCTATATACTTACACAAGCTCGTTACTTGCTCGGTCAATCGCTCTGTCTCTCTATGTCCTGTGAATGTCAAATTTAACAAGTCTTCTCTCCTCATCATGTGTGCCGGAAATTTCAACTCTCTTTCTGTTTCTTGTGTCCTTTTTGTTTCTATTTTCTTAAAACTTCCTTGTTACTCACATATTTCGTCTATGGTATTCTCAACGTCCTTCTGTAGAAACACATCTCTGTTGCCTCACGTCTCTTCTTCATATGTGAGGAAACTGTTTTTCATATGTGAAAAAATTCACTGCCTTATACGAGGAATTATATTATAGAACTACTGAGCATTATCTCTCCCCCCTCTCTCTCTCTCTCTTTTGTTTCTAACCAAATTTCTTTGATACACCTTAGTAACTTAGGAAATTAACTATTTCAAGCCCTTTTCGAAAGAAAACCAATTGTTATAATATTTGTTTATTACATGCTGGGACCAGAACCTGTTACATCGATGTGGTATCGGTATTTAAACGCACGCCCATGACGCTAAAGGAATGTGACACAAGGTCGAGATTAATGTGGGTTTATCGCAGTACCGTAGAAAAATAAACCCAGCCCCCTTCTGACGGAGAGATATTGCCTGGGAATGCCCTCCCGACTGGGGCTTGAAGTGATATTATTAGCATGGGAGTTCGCTCATCTAACGACCAGAATACAAGGTTCGCGTACGGCAATCGTACATGGTATCAGTTTTTTTTTCATTTTAACACATTCGGTATTTATTGTCATTGATTCACTATGATAAAGATTGGCTGATCTTTGCTATTTAAATAATCCTTTTTTTTTTTTTTCTTATCTTTTACAAACCTCGGAAATAGAATGAGGTGTGTCCATTTATTTATTGGCCATTACCACTCTGGGGCGATGATCGAATATATGGAAAACGAAGCCCCCCCCTTTTGTTTTTACATAACAAACGTTAGCAGAAACGTAGGACGTGATCTTTTCAAGTTGTAAAAAATAAACACGGCTTTCAAGATATGTAAGATAGTATTAAACGGCGTCGGCGGCCCACCAACGAAAATAGATCTAAAAATCAACAATCCTGCATTTAAACATTGAATCCTACGAGCAAATGTTGACGGAGGATCATGTCGGCCATTGTTTGGAACAATGAAACAACTGATAAACGAAAGAAATTTAAGAAAAAAAAACAATTTAAAAACAAATAAAAATATAATTGGAAACTAATGGCACGTTTTTTATCTATATTCTATATCTATATTTTATATCTATATTTTATCTATATTTTATATCTATATTTTATATTTTATTACTATATTTTATATTTTACATCTATATTTTATATCTGTATTTTATCTATATTTTATATCTATATTTTATATCTATATTTTATATTTTATATCTATATTTTATATTTTATATCTATATTTTATGTTTTATAACAATATTTTATATTTTATATCTATATTTTATATCTATATTTTATCTATATTTTATATTTTATATCTATATTTCTGAGATGAGGTATTGTTATTATTTAGGTTTATCCATGTAACATCAGGACGACTTTCAAAAGTGTTCGACACTTCACAGACACCTCTTCCGTGTAAGACCCCCCCCCATAGAGGAGAACATGACTACGGACTGTGTGTACGCTATCCCGTGCAGCTGTGGTAGGAAATATAAAGGAGAAACAGGCCGCTCCCTTAAGCTAAGACTGCAAGTAAAGCCGT